GCTGGGAAGCTATTGGTGAACGACTCTGCATCTCTATCTGAATATGGGCTCAAACCCTCGTGTGTGGTGCAGATGGTGGTGAAGGTCCACAGAGGCTGACAGAGACCAGCAATATGATACATCCAAAGGACAAAATGCATCATCTTTGCTAGCTGGCACTGAACTGTGTCGTCTTTGATCTTTGGTTTTCTTCTACACTTAAACATACAGCTCAATGAAGCATTAAATGTAAGCGACTGTATAACTTACTTGTTATGATAGTCTTACAGAGTAGGCCTTGAGATGGAGAGGATAGATGCAGCTTCAGTAAAAGACATTTTCAGGGAAAGAACATTTTCCAATTCCTCTTTGGAAATTTGAATATTGTGAAAAATGACTTGAAAAAACATGTTTTTAATAAGGCTTGGAGCTAAATGTGGAAAAATGTTGCTACTAATTCCAGCATCATTCAGTTTACAAACGGCGTCCCATTGAATAACTGGAATCCCCCCTCCCCCATTTTCACATAATGTGAAGCCATCCAGTGGGATGGTTCACATTTTTGAAACTCCTGATATTGCGTGAAATCCCTTTATGCACACTTTGACTACAAGGGGTAGCCGACAAGCATTAAAAAAGGATAACGTTTTTAAAAATGGGAAGAGCAACCAAATTATAACATAACATTAAAGTGAGCATGTGCTACACACCTCCTGCATGAATCAATAAATTCAGATATGTTTAATCAGTGATGCAAAATCTTACAGAACATGCTTTGGTTTTGTCGAGTGGACTCTTGCTGCCTTTAGCAGAGAGTGCTAATTCTGGGGACTGGTGGATGCTTACAGCACACAGTGTATGAAGAAAACTATAAAGATGTTTACATACAGCCTATAAAATGGAGTGATGGTAATACAACCACAAATTTGTTTCACAGCTGAAATTAATCAGATAAAAATAAAAACTGCATTACTTTTTAATGCTGTGCCACTGGTATTCTATTTGTACTTGTCTAGATTTATACTCCTCTACACCTCTTTAGATGCTGTATTGCTTTAAAACATTGATGTGAAGATACCAGTGCCCATTCTGCTGGTTAAAAAAAATAAGAAGGTAATCTTTAAATACACCAAATGTTCAGGTACATCCTGAAGGGTGCAATATTCCACACAGGCAGGAGGGGTCACTGTTTGAAAACAGTTGCAGGTCAGCTAAAGTACATACAATGGCATAACACTGCAAACCAGGGATACTGGTTAAATGACCATAGGGAGATTTTAAATGGAAAAAACTAACAAAAGATCAAAATACATATGTACATATTACTCACAAAGCATATCAAGTTTGAACTCTTTTTTTAGGGAACAGAAGTCAAATTAACCATGGGTTCAATCTGGTTACAAAAAGCTTTCTTCACATTAATAAATACATTACTCATACGTCACCTGCATGTGGGTAAATCCTAGAGTCATACAGGAAGCAGCGGAGCCAGCTTCCTAGGCCTATACTGATATGTGTGTGAGCACATGGCTCCTGACAGTTATTTTGTATCCGTAATCATAATGCAACAATCAAAAAGAGAGGTGTTTGGATAAACTGTTATTTATTTTCAGGCTGTTTTTTCAAGATCCAGTGCATTTAACAGTGCATTGAAACATTTGATGCTGTGACGCAAAATTACCTAAACACCAATGAAAGGGTAATCAGAAACTTACAAAGTAGCCAGTAATCCTGGTGATGACTCGTGTGAACTTAAGTCTTCTAGAAAAATATATGTGACCCTAGGACTTGTCATAGAATGCCATTTTAGCCTGCAGCCTGAAAATAGAGCATAAAATGTAAATCATGGATGGAAGGTTACATCGGACACCAAAAAGCATGTATTCATGCACCGCAGACGAGCTTTTCTACACTTCACCCAGACAAGCTGTATTTAAAACCACTAATGTCAGAACCAGTCGTAACGTACTGCATGTAATGTGCCTAACACAGATCATCTCCTGTCTTTTGCCATATGTGTGAAAGGGCCACAATGTCTAGCGTTCATGACAGAAAATAGCATCACACCAATCTTATATTTACCAAATTACATTCAATCTATAATTTTTGAGAAGGTTCATGACATGTAGGTAAAATATTTTCCTCTACAAAACTCTAAATGTCCTTTGGCATCTTTGCTTTTTTTTAAAAAATTAGCACACATCTTTAAATTAAATCAAAAGTAAGAAATATATGAAACTGATGTTAACGAGGCAGCTAGTGACTAGCTGAATAAAAAAAGTGCTGATGAGTCTTTGCGGTCACATGAGGCTCAGCTGAAGGAGATGGTGAGGAAAAGGTAACGGAAGGAGAGATGATGCAGAAAGGCACAGAGTAGGTTTCCTCCATTGTGTCTTCACTCCTGCAGTTTGAACTGGAAAGAACTGGTGCTCCATTTGGTTGTGTCACAGTCAAGCATGGTGCGCTCTGTGAAGATCACATTCCCTTCTGCATCTATCAGGATAATTGTATTGGTTCTGAATGGATAACAATACAGAGAAGAAAACAATTATAAATTTAATATCTAATAAGTATGACAGTGGTTATAAAAAGTCACTTTTCAGACACTGTTTGTCGCTGCCCTGCTAAATGATGTTTTGATAGCTTTGGAAAGCACTAACGCTCTGACCTTTTGGCTACAAGAGAGTGTCTGTACCCAATAATCCAGTGTTTCATTGCTGTGGAGGATTGATTACACTGGGGATTTTTTTTGTGTGCCAAGAGTTCACTGCTCTGTGATCTTGCTGTCTAGCACAGCAGTGTCAGTCACCACCAGTGAACACATAAGGGGGGAGAGAGAAATGATATCTGGTGAGTGAGGAAGGCTCTGACCTTGTTCCATAATGAGGGGAGCGAACACACACGGCTGACAGAGCCTGGATCATGGACTTGCTATAACCATCACCCTGAGTCTCCTGAATTGGATCAGGTGTGTTCCTGTTAAAACAACAACAACAAAAACAAAACAGATAACTTTAGAAAGCGTGTCGGGTTTTAATTGCACATGCATTAATACTTTTTTCATTATTTATTGCTCTTGAAGCAAATCCCATTTCTGAGCGATCCATAAAATCCACCAATACCCTTTAAGTGTATGGGTGTCTGCATGGAAACTTGGGTCAGATTATACCAAATGCAGTGATTCTAGCTGAGTGCTATTGGTGATCGCTCCCTGTAAGTCTAACCACCTTCCATGTGTGACCGATTAATGTGCTGGATCTCCTCACAGCGACCCTTATATCTGAATTTCATTTGAGGGTCTTCAAAGCTGTGCAAGATTATTAAAGTATATTAAACTAAATTAAAAACTAAAACTAGATATGGAAAATATTTTAGTTAACTGAAACAATAAAAATTAATTTAGTGTCAAATTTGTCAACCACGCTGAGCGGGCTCTGGTACTGACAGGGATGTCTATTGGTCTATTAGACAACACCCTTCACCCTCTTCTTAAATTATGCTTCAATTGATTGCACCTGTTTATCTTATATATCAATCCATCCATCCCCTTCAGCTTATCCGTTTCAGGGTCACCGGGGGACTGGAGCCTATGTCAGGTTGACAGTCTGGCACAGAGCTCAAATGCACTGACATTCACATCTATGGGTAATCTATAGTCAATGAGTAAAAGTGAATGATTCAATTCACTTTTACTCTGATAGTGCAAAATAACAACAACAGTCGCTTCTGTTGTTGGGGTGGGGTGGCTGTAGCTCAGGACATAGAGCAGGTCATGAGCAGAGTATCAGGCTTTTTCAGTTGCATCTCCTACATACACACAATTTAAAATGCACTGCAGCTGAATGAGATTTAAGTGGGTGTTTGTGAACTTACAGCTCCTCATTATTAAGGACACTGAGCAGCTCTTGCACCAGCCCATCACAAGAGAGCGTTTGGTCGCTGACGACGCTGGTGAAGTGTTGCTTGCCTTTCAGCAGTTTCTTCCATGGAGTATCCAGCAGCGAGTTGCTCAAGCTGTAGATTCCTGCTGAGGGGGAACAAGATAAATACAGACAAATTTAAACATTAGCAAGCTCTGCTAGCGTCTTTCTGGTGTGTTCTTCAATCTGAGAGCAATTTCACTGCGGAAATGTCAGACTGACATGAGCCAGCCATAGGCCAGGAGGAAAGGTATGAAAGGTTTCTACAGCAACCATACTAAAAACACAGACCTGGATTTAGATGGATGGGTTCAGGGCTGCCTCTGTTTCCATAGTAACACACAATGTCTTGTTTAGCTCTAGAGAGGACACAGTAAGATGGGAAATTAGACATTTTATGATAATCAAACGTGTTTATGTCTAATTATGACTGTTGTGTCAGGAGTCAGAAGACTTTGAGGCTATTGAAATAAAGCGAAATAGAGCAAAGAGAAAGTTCAAAGGGGCATTCCTCAGGGAAACATGGAAAATGAGCGCTGAGGGTGAAAGAGAATAACAAACTGCACCATATAGCATTTTTTAATGATGCATTTTTTTTGCAGCCCTGGAAAATAGGAATTAAGAAGCCTGTGTTATTGCTGGACGCAATTCAAATGGGAAAGTTAAAATACTATACCACACTAGAACAATTTTGATGTTATCCACAAAGGACAACTGGGTGAAATTAAGGTCTCAAAGTAAAAATTAGTGCTGCAAATACCCTTGACTACCACAAAAGCCATTTAGTTACGGTGTTAGATCTCCTTGCAAAGTCCTCAGTTAGAGGGAATTTATTCAGTCTGAAAAAAATCTATCCGACATCAAGGGCATCTGTCACAGCCTTGGTACAGGAGAGTGAATAATAAATTATGATCGAAGCCTTTGAAGCAGTAGTGGAATTCGTTTTTTTGATGTCAGTTTTATGACAGCAATACCAGTGGCATCAGTCAATCTCAAATGTGGTGCAACACTGTTTCAACATCTGACTTGGAAAGTTTCCCAGTTGAGAGCTGGCAAGACAAGGGCACAATATGCTGCTGGGCTTTTACTCTGCAAATACATTTACTAAATAGTTTTAAAAGCCAAAGTACATATTAGACAGCCTTTGGTCTGACCTGTTAGCACCACAAGCTGAGAATATTTGCCATTATTAACAAAGATTTCATGTCACGTTGAGAAAAACAAGTCTATTAATGAATTAGTAAATTGAAAGAACATTATTTTGTAACGGCTTTGATAATCAAATGAGCCTGCTTGGTTTTTCAACAAAAAAACCCAAATATTTCAACTGATTACATTTTTCTCAACTTCACTTGCCTGAAAGAAACCATTTCTGATCATTTACAGAATAACCAATTAAAACAGGTCAGTTAAACAATGCTGAAAAATCTCTTAGTTGTAGGTGGTTAGTTATGTTTTGCTCTACAGGAACATGAACAATATAATTCACACCCTCATTTCCTCTCTTCATGGACTGCCCAAGATGTTGAGCATTTCCTTCAGATTTAGCGCCATGTTGATCTGATTTACATAATCATCCCCTACATCTGGGGTTCTCAAACTGTGGGTTTGTCTCCACTAGTGGGGCTTAGAGCCTGTGCAGGTGGAATGTGGACAACCAGGAGTCCAGCTAAGTCGAATGAATATGACGTCCCACGGGAAAATAAACAGAAGCTTGCCAATGCTATCAGCCTGACATTTAGGTAATAATTGATTTTAAAAACAAAAACATGCTTGTCAGACATGCCAGCCTCAGTGGAACAGAAGACCCATCAGAACAGGCTTGGTTTTCCAATCTTCAAATGTCCATTTTTGATGGGGCCGTGTGCCTGCAAAATCAGATCTTTTTGTTTTTTAGCTCAAACAAGTCTGAAAGGAGTAAGGACTCAAAGCTGACTGCTTCAAAAAAGGTGTAAATACTGCGCTTATGTTCCTCCTACATATGAACTGAAATTTTAGTTTATGGTGTTAATTTTCTTATTAAAGTCGATAAAAATGATAAATTCCCCAATAACTCAGTTTGACATGATGATGTGGTGAAAAGCATTGTCTTAAGTCAGGCTGGGTACACAAACATAATGGTGTAAGACAGGGGTGGGTAGCTCCAGGCCTTGAGGGTCGGTGTCCTGCAGGTTTTAGACATCACCTGGGTCAACACACCTGAATTAAATGATCAGTTCATTACCAGGCCTCTGGAGAACTACAAGACATGCTGAGGAGGTAATTTAGCCATTTGAATCAGCTGTGTTGGATCAAGGACACATCTAAAACCTGCAGGACACCGGCCCTCGAGGCCTGGAGTTGCCGACCCCATCCGAATGCTCATCGAGGCGATCGTTGGCTCAAGAGTTGGGAGTTCACCTTGCAATCGGAAGGTTGCCGGTTCGAGCCCCGGCTCGGACAGTCTCAGTCGTTGTGTCCTTGGGCAAGACACTTCACCTACCGCCTACTGGTGTGGGCCAGAAGGGCCAATGGCACGATATGGCAGCCTCGCTTCTGTCAGTCTGCCCCAGGGCAGCTGTGGCTACAACTGTAGCTTGCCTCCACCAGTGTGTGAATGGGTGGATGGTGTGTAAAGCGCTTTGGGGGACTAGTAAAAGCGCTATACAAATACAGGCCATTTACCATTTATAATCTTGCTTGTATTAAATGTATATCGCATTGTGGTGGGGCGTGGACGCGGTGCTGGGCGGACGCACCTGCACGGCATCCGCAATCATGCCCGCCGGGGAATTGGGGTTGTTGTGGTGTGATGTATGTGTAGCTGCGGTCAATAAGGATGGCTAAAAACTGATGTATGGACCTGCTGTGTCTCATTCACACCACACGCATATTTCGCTGAAATATTTGTATCTCTTTTAAACCTCAGAACTGAGCATGGCTTCTTAAACCAACAACTATAAACACATCAGCACTGGCCAATATTCACTCAAGGCGAAAGCAGTGACCGCTCATCCAAGCACGCACATGGTAGCCAGTCAATGAGAACCAGATGGCACTGTAACCTGAGAGAGAAGCCTTTATTTGTCTGCTCTGCAAAAATGAAATTGTCTGAACTAGTATTTTGTCTTGGTATTGAGGTCTTCACTCAACAATACCTCAACAGCCTGGCTCTATCTACACACTTTGCGTGTGATATCAAATCAAATTGACCATGGTGGCAGCAGGTGGAGGATTTATGGAGAGAGAGTTCCATTTGTGCTGTTTGAAACTGGCTAAAATGTTGAAAGTCCCATCAGGTGTGCCGTGGGTTTATTTGGGCTGAGATGAGGGAACAGCAGGAGGTCGGGACCATCGGGCAGAGCGAGAACAAAGAGGGAAGAGTCAAAAACAGGCTTTTTCAGATCTCAGTCAGAGAGTTAATCAGTATGCTAGCTGAGAAGTGTTCTAATGAAGAGTCCTCTATATTGAGGCTGCAGAGCATCACCAGCTGTAGTGTAGTTGGCTGAGATGGTTGAGTGAGTGTTAGAGTTTGTATTGTTGATTGCCATTTATGCTTAGAAATATTTACTTATATATGCTTAGAGTTTTGTAATTAGCTGTAGATTGGTAGAGGTTTTGATCCTTGATAGTCTGCAAACTTTGTGTGTATTAGACAGCACTTTGGGAGCATGAGAGGTCACACCGTGTCTTATTGTTTTATGGTAGAATCAACGTAGTTGCGTCTGTTCTAGTCTAAGTGCTCTTTGTTTAGATGAACTGCAGGACTTCCTCACCGTGTTATCTAGGATGAACCATCTAGGGTGAGGGGGAGGCTACCCTCTTCCTGACCAAGGATGTTTGACCCTTTGATCAGCAGTCCACACACACACACACACACACACACACACACACACACACACACACACACACACACACACACACAGGCAAGGTACTCTTTGTGTGTATGTAGACGTCATATGTTAATGAACTTATGCATATTCATGTAACCTCAATAAAAGACAGTGGTACGGGAGAACGGACGAGAGCAACTGGGGTCAAGCGAAGGAACGGTGCCTGTCCGGTTCTCTCCCGTGCACGAGAAACATGAAGAAGCTTGCCTACTTGTGTCTTGCTTTGCAGTGTAATTATATTGTCTTCAACGTTCCAGCGGATAGGTTCAAGCTACAAACCTATCAGTGAGCTTTCAAGAAATTCAGGTAATTTTTGAGGGAAAAAAATAATCATAGCAGACAGAAACTTTGGGATTTATCAGCAAATCATTGAATAGGACGTGTTCCTACATCTCACCTAGTCACCATCAGTGATTCCAACTTTGGCTTTGGCAATATGTTTCTGTAAAAATGCAAGGAACTATTTCTAGTCAGATTGAAAAGAGATACATGACAGATGTAGTTCTTAGTAAAACATTCATATACTGTATGGAAACATGGAACTTCAAATATTTATATTATACCAGTGATGTATTGTAATTCAGACCTCCCATCTGATAGAAAAAGGCTGTGCATACAACCATGCAAACAATCAGAGAGCAAAAATTAACATCATTTAAATTTGTATGGCAATTTTTAGACATCTGGAGTGAATCATGCAGTGCTATTTATTGTAATCCACTCAGGAGAATCTCATCTTCTGTTCTTCTAAAACAGAATATGATTTCCCCAGAGGCGATGTTACAAGCACTTTGGAGAGAAGAAAAACAAATCCTCACAGTACAGTTTCTTTAAAATGTTGAGAGTTCATCCGCCCCTGATACTGTGGAATGTGCGTATCTGCTGCCCCGCTGTGTTTCTTTTTGAGCCCGAACAAGTTTCTGCCAAGAATTACAACACAGGGTTTGAGGCAATAAGATCGAACCACTTTCTAAAGTTGTTTTTTTTTTTTTTTAAACAGCCAAACTGAAAGTGCATTAGGGAGGCATTTCTTTGCGGGCAACATCAGAGCACATATTTAATAAAATGGATAATCTCTGGGCATTGACTTTAAAGCAAGAGCGACTTAAAGTGGGATCAAAAACCAGAGCTATAGACAAGTCAGATGAAGTGTTGGATATGGAGCCTCGAGAGCATCAAGCTGAGAATATCTGAGTCAGATCAAAATTTAAATATATATGGCATTAGCTTCACGACTGTGAGGCCCAGTAGACATTTCTTTAAATGCAAGGCTGCCACAGACCAAATTATTCATGCACAATCCAATCCAACATGATTAAAGAATATTCCTGGTGAGACCTCTCCATTAATAAGCAGCAATAAATAAATTATCAAATAGTTTGTATGTTAAGTGTACAGTCTTGCTCTCATGTATGTGTAAAGAGTGATGAGACTTACACAAAGAAGGTGCCACATCTTGACCCCACTGCCACCAGTCGCCACATCGTAAATCACACCTGTGCTTACAGATGAAACCAAAAGCCTCTAATTGTCATGTAAAGCTACTGTCAATCCACCAGCAGTTATTGATTCGGAAAGAAACCAAACGCCTTATTTCCTCAGGGCAGCTGGGCACATTGCAGTGGATAACAAACAGGCTGGTAATGATGGTGCTTACTAAAAAAGATTGTGCATATGTAACTGCTGCCCCTGGTTTTAACAGGGACATCTGCATATTCTGAGCTGATCAAAAATAGCAGCTAAGCCACCTAGATAATGTCATACGGTTGCCCCTAGGTTAAAAAAAGAAAAAGGAAAAAAAGCTTTCAAAGGCTCAGATGATACCGACACTTCTGAAAATAAAGCTCCAAGTAGCTGACTTTTTGTGCAGGTATACACAAGTATATACACAGACCTTTAAGAATAAATGTTTGTTTGGAATCTCACATGTGTGTATTTCACTCGGTTCAGTGGTATGCTGAACTCTTGTGGCTTTCTTCACAGTTTGAGGTGCAAAGTCTGCTGAGATTGGGAAATCTAGTCTCTCAGATGCAAAATACTTTAAAAAAATGATGTGAAAATTATTAGCGTGAGAAGCAAAAAAGGTCTAGCTAACTATATTTAAAGTGAACCAGAGTTGCAGTATACTTTAAAGCTCAGCAGCCAAACAGCACGATAGGAGTCCCACAGTAACTCATATGATGCTTTCACAGAATGTAGCCTAATATATTGATGGTACTGAGACACAGTGAATCTCAGTATAGTGCAAACAATCTAAAATACATCACTTTGTGCATTGTCGTGCCAATGTGTGCTACTATTATTATGCCATTTTAAAAATGAATACACCACGATCACAAATGTAGGAGTGACATTGGTTTCTGCATGTGGTAAATATATATTGATCAAAAACGTTGATATTTGGCAGAACTGTATTCATAATTCATATAAAATATTGCCCTATAAATAAGCTTAGCTTTGAATGAGCCACTACATTACAGAGATATGTTTAAGTCTTTCAGTTGTATTGCTGAAACTTGCAATACCAAAGCCACAGAAGATGTTTCCAACCTACAATACTGTTTCAAAAAGTAGCACCTTATCCATTATATTGGAGTTGGTAGAAATTATTAGGTGGCAAAGAAAATAATATGAAAAACAAAATATTTCTCTATCCTGAAAGCTCTTTTGGGGATAACAAACTACTTCAGGCTATGTTAAGAGGAGGAAAAGTCCACTTTTTCTTCTCCAACAGAGATACAACTTTTAACCTCTGAACTCTCCTTTCCCCCGCTTTCCTTTGGGCAGGTGCAGTCATAATGTTATCAGCAGGAGAGCTGGCTGTACTCCCGTCAGGAGCGGTTTCTCTACCATCAGCAGCACAGCATCAAGCGTCAACACTTTATAGCAAACTTTTTATGTTACACATTTTTGTAATTTCAGGTAATATTGCCTTTACATCAGCTACACTATGCTCCAGCTCCCTAAGACAACAGTGTGGCTTCACTATATTGCAGCTCTCTACATGGGCCGACAACCTGACAGCTATCCGAGTGTGCACTGAGCCCATTTTCTTTCTTTTCTATGCTTATCATCAAATTCAGTCAAGTCAGGCTTGTGAAGCACATGGGAGGGGGAAAAAAGCCTTCGTTATTTTTTATGCTGTCTAGAGTTTCTTTGTTTATAACCCTGAAATATGAACAGGTGTTCCTTTGGAATTTTAATGCTGGCTCGTTCGCAGCTCAGTGTCTTTTCAGTTCTGCCTGGCTGGCACTCCAAAGATGAAGATGTTGCTTTTGTGGTTTTCTTTCCGCGGTAAGGCCAAAATTCAGAGGAACAAAGTTAAAGCCCAGTAAAAAAAAAAAAAAAGAGAGACTCCTTTACTGTTTAGATTGTGAGAAGACACACATTATACAGCCTAGTGTGGCTATTTTGCATATTTCTTCTCACTCTGGAAAATATTTCATCTTATGAAATGCAACAGTGGATAGCGTCTGTTTTTAAATGTTAGTGTAAGCATCCACATGATGGATATACTTATTTGAATCAGCTTTATCAGTGCATAGAAAATATGCAGATGGATTTCACAACACGTTTTACTCACTTGAACTCAGCTGTGATGAGGTTAAACCCATTGTACAGGTGGCCTTCTGACGACACCTTCTTCAGGTAGGAGTAGCTGTCCTGATCCTTGTCCATTAAATAGTGAGACACTAGAAATCCTGCAAATTAGCAAACGTAATAAGAAATGTATGTAATGTATGTGTACTACTTATTCCTTAGAATCAGTTATATTATCACATGGATTCTAGACACTGAGGCTGTAAAGGGGCACTTGGGACATTTTCATGGCTGATTACCTCGTCCTTGTGCATCAGCGTTAGGACGTCCCTCCATGTAGTTGGTGATGGCAGCCAGCTTGCCCCTCTTGCTGATCCCCAGCCATGACCCCCCTTCCTTCCCTAGCTCCAAGTCCAGGCCTGATAAACACAGAGTTACAATGTATTTTTAAAAAAAGAGGGGCATCAGACCTCACATGAAAAGAGTATGACTCGATTTTAACGGATAATAACAGAGATTCTTCAGTATACCCTGCTTCTTTTGCATGCCAGTTTTCCTTAACAAGGACAAATGATGGGTAACGAATGATTAACTCAAGAAAGAACTAGGTCATTTGTCACTAATCATATGGCAAACAGACTTTTTAATTATTCACTGCAGCTAAGTGCTAGTTTGAGAAAAAACACATAAATTCATGCAATATGCAAAAGATGTGAAAGGGAAAGAATTCTACAGTTAGAAAAATGTTAATAAATAATAAAAAGAGAAAAAAGAATAAATAATTAGTAATGGAAATTTGAAGTTTCTCTGATATTAGTAGCAAATATATATTACATATTATTTTTGAAATGGTCTTATTATGCTTTTACCTATTTGACATCATGCTGTATGCACAAATGTTAAAAATGTGGATATTAAAAGTAGACAAAGTTTCAAATAATGACGTCAGTGTGTGTGTGTGGTCATAGTTCTATATGTAGTGGATATCCCAAATATGACCATTTTAGGCACACAGCTCTGGCTGTGAACACAGGAGCCCCGCCCCCCAACTGTGCAAAACCTTCTGTTTGGAAGAAACTGCCAATCAAAAGAAATTAGGTTTGAAGGGAGAGCAGTCTCAAAGGGAGAGCGGCTTAAATAGCTTGTTTCATATAGTAGATAGATTGAGTGGCAGTAAGAAATCTAGTCCACATTAAGATGCGCAAATAGAAAATATTTTCTTCTGTGTCACTGACATCACAATCAGAGGAAGTATAAAACTTATATAACCTTCAAGATGTTGTCCAATTGGAATGAAATCTCATAAGAGTGATGGCAGGAATTATTTTAGTCCATCAGTAACTGAATGTTTTCTTTCTACATCCCTCTCCTCCAGTTGACACAAAGAATGTCAGGCCCTGCAAATTTGCAGCACTTCCTGGTGATCAATAAAGACAGGTCCACTTATACAGTCAGTGACCTCGAGAGCCAAATGGTCTAATTCCTCTGAGGGTGGATGGAAAGCTAGCTAAATTCCACTGGGACCAATAGCTTACTTCCCTTCTCGCCATGCTACGTCTCCTTCAGGGCCCTACTGCTACCCACCCACCACACTCACGCCCCGTTCATCCCCCACCCCTGCAGATAAGACAGAGCCATTTATTCCTGTCACATTGCATAAAAACAGCCATCAATTAAGAACCCACTAGTCGAGTTCTGACCCCTCTATTACAAAGGGGAGAGGAGACTGGCGAACAACGAGGATATCGCACCATTTCTTCCCTCAGCAGAAAAACAGAAGACTGATTTTTTCTGATTAGCCATAATGTGTATTGAACATCAGTCAATTAAATGTAGTTTGCTGTGGGTGGGGATGTTCTGCGATGGATTTTTGAGGTGAAGGAAAGGGATTTTTCCTTGATTAATGAAAGCTCTTTATTCTTACAGGTAAAGTTTGTTAAGCAGTACTAAAAAGCCAACCAACCTTGCATATATTAATCAAAATAAGCAATTAAATTCTAACAGACACGTTTACACAAAACATACAAGAAAGTTTTTCACTAATTTGTGTTAGCTTTAGCTTTAAAAATTACTGCTGTTTAGTGAAAAGCTTGACTGGTGGTCTCAAGTGTATATGTACAGGCTTACCACTGAGGATCTCATTGCTGGCCCCCCAGAAGTCTGCAGCTTTGGATGGCCTGTTGTAGAACTCATCTCTGTTTGCAGCCAAAATTAGCCTGAGAACATAACAGGTTAAAACTTGTAAAGGGGGCTCAGCCCCCAATCATAATGCCATGCATACAATGCCTTTACAATACAATTACAACATTGCATTACAATGTTAAAAAGCAATTCATTTAGTTGGATGACCTGTTGTAGTGCCTAAGAACCACCCTGCCACTCCATACACCTGGACAAGATGCAAACTAGAAATAGAGCTGTTTTCTCACCTAACCTCATTACCTGCCCATTTGCTCACCTGGTTCTTCGTGCTCCTATACAGTCTCTCTATCATCTCTCTGTCCAACCTCCTGGACTGACAATCGCACACAAATGCATGGTATTCAACATAACATAACATAACATAACATAACATAACATAACATAACATAACATAACATAACATAACATAACATAACATAACATAACATAACATAACAT